TGTTGGACTCGGTGGGCCATTGCCCTGATCCAGCAAGTTCTTCTTATGCCCTTTTGTTTTTACATGTTGTTGTTGTTTAGTCGTTTAGTCGTGTCCAACTCTTTGTGACCCCATGGACCAGAGCACGCCAGGCACTCCTGTCTTCCACTGCCTCCTGCAGTTTGGTCAGACTCATGTTTGTAGCTTCGAGAACACTGTCCAACCATCTCGTCCTCTGTCGTCCCCTTCTCCTTGTGCCCTCCATCTTTCCCAACATCAGGGTCTTTTCCAGGGAGTCTTCTCTTCTCATGAGGTGGCCAGAGTATTGGAGCCTCAGCTTCACGATCTGTCCTTCCAGTGAGCGCTCAGGGCTGATTTCCTTCAGAATGGATAGGTGTGATATTCTTGCAGTCCATGGGACTCTCAAGAGTCTCCTCCAGCACCATAATTCAAAAGCCTCAATTCTTTGGCGATCAGCCTTCTTTGTGGTCCAGCTCTCACTTCCCTACATCATTACTGGGAAACCATAGCTTTGACTATACGGACCTTTGTTGGCAAAGTGATGTCTCTGTTTTTAAGATGCTGTCTGGGTTTGCCATTGCTTTTCTCCCAAGAAGCAGGCATCTTTTAATTTCATGACTGCTGTTTTTACATAGATGTGCCTTTAACTGTGGGGTTGGGTTTTCTTTTCATAGGGGAAGAGAAAGAAGTTCGACAAATCGTCAACACTGGAGCTACAATCCAGATTGGGACCTTGGCATGGGGGGGGCCTCCAACTCTTCACACCCCCTTCCTTTGGTCTCAATACAGTTTGCAAGTTCCACTCCATGCCTGCAACTTGCATCGGATGGGAAAGCTTTCATTTTGATTGGACAGACCTGCAGACAGAGGACCGTCCTCTGCAGAACAGGCAACACGATAGCAGAAACTTCCTTTGCTTGTTAACAGCTCAGGATGTTGGGATGTATAGAGACTGAGACCGGCCTTGGAACCTGAACCCCATTTGGGAAAGGTGACTCATCCTTTCCTCCCCCAGCTAAGGGAGAATCTGTGTTTTTGGAAGAGCAGCAGAAAGAAACATGAGCTGTGAGCTGCAAGTACCCGGGAGAGCAAGCACCTCTCTCTGGGAAGTGATGCAGCACAGCAGATCGGCTCACTCCTTAGGAACACCAGAATCTGCGTTGCACTGAGTCAGATGCAGACAAGCAGATGCTCTTCAGGGCTGAGGACTGAACCTGAGGCCTTCTGATTCCTACTACTTCTCTATCTTGTCTTATCTTTCTTGTCAAGACTTCCAGTACGAGAACAAACAACAATGGTGACAAGGCGCATCCTTGTCTAGTTCCTTTTTGTATACATTTATCCGTTACCACCCGATTTACGATTATTTTTGCATTTTGGTCTGAGTAAACAGCTTGCATTCCCCTATTAAATTTTTCTCCAAATCCCATCTCCTCCATCACCTTCTTCATAAAGCTCCAAGAAACATTATCAAATGCTTTCTCCACATCTATGAACATTATTGCTGCTTTTTTCTCATTTCTTACTTCCAGATACTCTTCCAGTACATTTCTAATATTATGCTCTACCACTGAGCAGCACCCCTTCCCAGGGAGCTGGTGCTGCTACTCGCTACTTGTAGATTTAATTAATAGGCATGAAATCATGGGTAGGCAACCTAAGGTCCAAGGGCCGAATCTAGCCCAATCGCCTTCTAAATCCAGCCCACGGACGGTCCAGCGTGTTTTTACATGAGTAGAATGTCCTTTTATTTAAAATGAATCTCTGGGTTATTTGTGGGGCCTGCCTGGTGTTTTTACATGAGTAGAATGTGTGCTTTTATTTAAAATGCATCTCTTGGTTACTTGTGGGGCATAGGAATTCATTCTTTTCCCCCAAAAAATATAGTCCGGCCCTCCACAAGGTTTGGGGGACAGTGGACCAGCCCCCTGCTGAAAAAGTTTGCTGACCCCCGCATTAAATGCTACAGAAGGCACCATACATGTTCTCTTCTCCAAAAGGAAAGCTGAATCCTGGCAGTGCTGCGCCTCCAGTCCCCGCCACTGCAAAACCTCTCACTGCTTGGATAAGGATATGGTCCTACACTGTGTGATAAAAATTTTAAAGTCTTAGATATATAATAAATGTTCATAAATGTACCAACCATTCAACTGCAGGTAAAGGCAAGCATATTTTTATCTCTAGGATCATTCATTCATTTACTGTATACATTGCATTTATTCATTGCATTTCTTGTATTTATATCCCTCTTTTTCTCCAAGGAACTCAAGGTGACATGCATGTTTCTTCTTCCCCCACCCCACCCTCATTTAAACCCAAAAAGAACCCATCTAGGTAGGTTAGGCTGAGAGGGAGAGTGGCCCAAGGTCACTTCACCATGTGACCTTCACCATGGCCAAGTGAGGATTCGAACCCTGGTCTCCCAGGTCCCTCCAACATTTCTCCAATGAAAATAGGGATGCCCCATTCCATAATGATAATTTTACTATTTATACCCCACACATCTTACTGGGTTGGACCCAGCTACTCTGGGCAACTTCCAACATATATAAAAACATAATAAAACATTTTTTAAAACTTCCCTATACAGGATTGCCTTCAGACAACTCGGGGGTCGGATAGCTCCGTACCCTCCAACATTACTCTGATGAAAATAGGGACGTCCTAAGGAAAACGGGGACATTCCGGGATCAAATCAGAAACTGGGATGGCTTCTGTAAATCAGGGGTGTCCCTGGTGTTGAAAACAAAAATCTGCCCTTTTCCCCTTTATGGGGTATCCAAGAGCTCATATAGAGTCCTTACATGGGTTCCTTATTGGTAAGAGATAATAACAGAGGCCAAACAGAGAATATTGAGAAGCAAAGCAGCTAGTAATCCTGGTCTTTATTGAACTGTTGCGACAGGATCCTCACTGACCACACGCAGGAGGGAGGAGGAACCCAGAACAATAGCGTGCAAGGCCTTATATAGACATTTTAAATTCCCTGCCCTGGAACTCAAGACCACCCCTCCATACATCATACATACATCACAGAAGGGGTGTAACCTAAGACCACCCCCAGATCTACATCACAGAAAAGGCGGTCTACAACAGAAATCTGAGTGACTTGTTTATCTCATCTGACAGGTTACCTGTTTAATGGTCACTTGATTGGATTGCCTGGGGAGCCTGTACAGTCTTTTATAATGATAAATACTTAGTTCCTGAGCCAGGCCACAGGCTCACACTCTATTCACATCTTAAATGTGCCCTTAAGACAGGATTTGTGAAGGAAAAAGACAATGGGGAGGTTTCCCACTTTGACCTTACAGAGAAATAATTGAGGTCAATTTGTTCAGGACTTTTCTTCCTGTGGGGTTTTCAGACATGTGGTTTATATATTTATGTACGTGTTTGCTTGGTACATTTATGAACAATTATTACATATCTAAGACCTTAAAATTCTTATCACACTGGAAAATAGGGACACTTGGAAGGTCTGGGCTAGGCACTCTAACCACTACGCAGCGCTGCCTCTCCTCCACCACACTGGCTCTCTTGCACCAATAAGGAGCGCTTCCCTCCAGGCAAAGCAGCAGCAAGGGAATTTCCCGGGCTGGAGGGCTTTGTGACAACCCCTGTCAAAGGTGAAGTGGGAGATTTGGCACTGTAGCTGGCGAAAGGAGGCTGTCGAGACAGAACGAAGAGCCGCCCGGCCCTGCAGTGCCTCTTTGCCGAGAAGAGAGCAAGTCAGTGTTTAGGTTTCAGACAACGCCAGCTCTGTAGGCCAGCCTCTGCTTGTCAGTCTTTGTCAGACACCGGCAGCCGCAGGGGATGAACATCCCGCCATCAAAGCCCCACCTCCAGAGTCCTGGCATTTTGCGGTGAGGAGACACCCAGCTGCTTGCGCAGGGAAGGCTGCCTCCCTCCCAGTCCCAGCCCCCAACAGCACCCGCAGCCTCCCTGGGGCTCCCGCTTGACAACGGGTGCTGGAATGTTCATCTTCATAAACAAGAGCTTGGCAGAGACCCAGAGTGTTTGCTCAAACTCGCAAGCTTTAATCTGAGTTTAAAGAAATAAACCCAGTATACCTCCCTTAATCATGCAGGGGAGGGAGAAATATGCATTGAAGCCTTGCTGCCTCCATAATAATAATAATAATAATAATAATAATAATATATTCATACCCTGCCCTCCCCAGCCAAGACCGGGCTCAGGGCGGCTAACACCAGGTATAAAAACAATTGATTAAAATACAACTTGAAAAGAAGATTAAGTACAACATTAAAATGCAGCCTCATTTCAGTAGAAACTCAAATCAAAAACTTTTTGGGGATGAAAACGTCAAATCTTCACCAAGGCCAACTATCCAGACTGGTCCAACGTGGGCCAGAAAAAAGCCAGGGAAGTCCCCAAATAAGAGTTCCATCACAGAAGGAGAAAGGAAAAAGGAAAGAGGGGGAGGGGATCAAGTTGATTCCAAGCCAAAGGCCAGGCGGAACAACTCTGTCTTACAGGCCCTGCGGAAAGAAATCAGATCCTGAAGATCCAGATGCGCCCGGGATGCTTCAGAACGCCCCTCGGCAGGACGCAGAATGGCTGCAACCACTACACACATTCAGAAGGAGCGCGGAATGGATTTCGCTCACCTCCATGTCAGGTGACATGAGCTGACGGGCAGGAGAACATGCAGATCCCTGCAGCCAGCAGGATCGAATCCTCAGCTGGTGAGCGGAGGGTTCAATCCTGCATAGCTGAGCTAGGGAATGTTTTGCATTATGGGGCATTCATAATGGCGAGTGGCTTCCCAGATTCAGTCCCTGCTACCACCCAAGCCCACAGCCAGGGACAAGGGAGGGCCAAACAGCTGCTCAAAGGTGCCAGGTAGCGTCAAAAGGCAGAAGCTGAAGCGTTGCATGATGCCAGCATGGTGGTTAGCCTGCCAGAATACAGAATCATAGAGGTTTAAGGGACCATGAGGGTCATCTAGCCCAACCCCCTGCGATGCAGGAATATTTTGCCCAACGTGGGGCTCAAACCCATGACTCTGAGATTAAGGGTCTCATGATCTACCACCGGAGCCCCATGCATCTGTACTGAAGTTCTCACCTTGGGCCAGCAAGGGGATACTGTAGATAGTTTTCACTCAGGTCCGCATATGCAAGTGACGTTCAGTGATTGGATAGTTACAGAAAGTTGTTATTGTTGCTTTGTAGTTGAGCTCTATATAAGCAGGCTGGCTGAACCCTTCAGCTCAGTTCTGTTCTGGCCTGTGAATAAACAAGAGCTGTCTGAAGAATCGCTGTGTCGTCTGATATGTTCACCCACAACTTAACAGTATCACTATGTGCTGCGCGAAGAGGTACTTTATTTTATCTGTCCTGAATCTGCCAACATTCAGCTTTTTTAGATGTCTGTGACTTCTAGTGCTGTGAGAGAAGGAGGAAAACTTTCCCCTCTTCACTTTCTCCATGCCACATATACCGTATTTTTTGCTCTATAAGACTCACTTTTTCCCTCCTAAAAAGTAAGGGGAAATGTGTGTGCGTCTTATGGAGCGAATGCAGGCTGTGCAGCTATCCCAGAAGCCAGAACAGCAAGAGGGACTGCGCAGCGATCCCTCTTGCTGTTCTGGCTTCTGAGATTCAGAATATTTTTTTTCTTCTTTTCCTCCTCCAAAAACTAGGTGCATCTTGTGGTCTGGTACGTCTTATAGAGCAAAAAATACGGTAATTTTATAAATGTGCATCATGTCACCTCTTGCCTTTTCTCCAGGGTAGAAGGGACTTCCTTCCTTCTGTTAATCCTGCAGCAGCCAACCTGTTGCTGTCCAGGTGTTTTGGGCTGCCACTTCTGTCATCTCCAGCCATTCTGGTTGGGACCTATAGGAGTCAAACGCATCTGCAGGGCAATGGCGTGTTTCTTCCCAAGCCAGCAAAATGGCTCAGAGGGAAATGAAGAGGACAAGCAGGCATTGTTGTGCTGAGGCCGATTATCAGATCCCTCCAGATCTAAGCATTGGAAGGAAATGCCATCCATCACCAAGGCGCACAAACACAATCCCGAGACATGGCAGTGAGCATGCCCTCTGCACAGGAAAAACATCTTCCAAACAAGGTTCAAAAGCCAGCCTGTGTCTTCACTGATGCTCCTGCTCTTTCTCTCTCCCTCCCGAGTCTCATGCAAACATCTGGAGGGATATTTATTTGCATCTTTCTTCCCCTTTCCCTCATTCTCCCACTCGTAACCTTCCTCCGGTTTGGCAACCCTTCCCGGCCCGGCGAACGTGTTTTGCCATCTGCTCGCTGGATGACATTCCAGTGGGGAAACACTGAGCAGCTATTGAAGTGGTGCAGAGAAAAGAGACGCTCAACGACACCGCCAGGCCCTTTCGCAGCATACAGGGCTGTTGTGTCTCGCTGACGCACATGTGTGTGTTTTGCGCAACCCTTTGACATCTCCCCTTTTGACACCTCTTCCAGTCGGATCAGCTGTCACGCCAACGCTGAGGCCAGCCTTCAAGCTGAATGTTAGAAGGGGTGAGAAGTCGCGCATTGCATGTGCAAGGCTGCCAAGAGAGATGGAGGGGTGGTTGTTTAGAACATGGGTAGGCAAATGGAGGCCTGGGGGCCGAATCCAGCCCAATTGCCTTCTAAATCCGGCCCGCAGATGGTCTGGGAATCAGTGTGATTTTACATGAGTAGAATGTGTCCTTTTATTTAAAATGCATCTCTGGGTTATTTGTGGGGCATAGGAATTCATTCATTCCCCCCCCCCCCAAAAAAATATAGTCTGTTCCCTCACAAGGTCTGAGGGACATTTGACCGGCCCCCTGCTGAAAATGTTTGCTGACCCCTGGTTTAGAGGCTTCTGCACAGTTCCCCCACACAGCCCTTTGGTAGGCATGCTTGGGGTTCATATGTGGCTATATAGATCTATTTTACACACCATCCCAAACTCTGAGCACTCACATTCAAACTTTCCCAGAGTTCTGTTTCCTTGGCGTGAAGGTCAACAAACTGTGATGTCTTTAGGATACAGGGTTTCATGGAAAATGAGCGTGGTCCCAACTCAAGAAGAACAGCAACTTAAGTTGACAGAACATAACATATAGAATAAGAGAACAAGAAGAACATGGGCTTAGAGAAGATCGGAAAATGTTTATTGAATACGTGGGGTGGGGGAATTATGTACACTTGAAAATGTTGGCAGCATTAAAATAAATTCAACATTGCAAATAAGTTTTGATGGATGTAATATTGGAATACTGAATGGTCTAGTTTTTGTAAAATATGCGGGGATTTATGATATGCAAAGTGAACCATGGAAAGAGAAGAAGGGAAGTCACTGACATTTTAAGGATGTTTAAATGATAGATAGATAGATGATAGATAGATAGATAGATAGATAGATAGATAGATAGATATAGATGATAGATAGATAATGAGTGGTACCTCGGGTTACATACGCTTCAGGTTACAGACGCCTCAGGTTACAGACACCGCTAACCCAGAAATAGTGCTTCAGTTTAAGAACTTTGCTTCAGGATGAGAACAGAAATCGTGCTCCGGCAGCGCGGCGGCAGCAGGAGGCCCCATTAGCTAAAGTGGTGCTTCAGGTTAAGAACAGTTTCAGGTTAAGAACGGACCTCCGGAACGAATTAAGTACTTAACCCGAGGTACCACTGTAGATGATAGATAGATGATTGATAGATAGATAGATAGATAGATAGATAGATAGATAGATAGATAGATAGACAGATGATAGGTAGATAGATGACAGATAGATAGATGATAGATAGATAGATGATAGGTAGATAGATAGATAGATAGATAGATAGATAGATAGATAGATAGATAGATACATGATAAAGGTAAAGGTAAAGGGACCCCTGACCATTAAGTCCAGTCGTGACTGACTCTGGGGTTGCGGCGTTCATCTCGCTTTATTGGCCGAGGGAGCTGGCATAGCGCTTCCAGGTCATGTGGCCAGCATGACTAAGCCGCTTCTGGCGAACCAGAGCAGCGCACGGAAACGCCGTTTATCTTCCTGCCAGAGCAGTACCTATTTATCTACTTGCACTTTGACGTGCTTTCGAACTGCTAGGTGGGCAGGAGCAGGGACTGAGCAACGGGCGCTCACCCTGTTGCGGGGATTTGAACCGCCGACCTTCTGATCGGCAAGTCCTAAGTTCTGTGGTTTAACCCACAGCGCCACCTGCGTCCCTAAGCAGGAATCTTTTGCGCCACGTGGGAATCAAACCCACGACCCTGAGATGAATAGTCTCATGCTTTACTGACTGAGCATACATGGTTTTAGTTACATAAAAACTGAGCATAAATTGGAAGGGCTCACAGCACCAACACACCAAAAGATCTTGCTTCTCTATTAGTCGCAGCTTTGGATCCAGCACAGAGCAAGCATGTCTCTGTGTCTCCAGCTTCCAGCCTTCTTCCAGCTCAGCTCACACACTACAGTGACTTATGTTCTCCTGCTGCAAGCGCTGCACCCCATAGTCACCTTTGACTGGACTTAACTGTCCAGGGGTCCTTTACTTTTACCTAGCAGCTAGGGAGGGAAGGGAAGGTCTACCCATTTATCCTGTGCCACAGAGCAATTTCTTTGGTTATGCTAATTGTGGTGCTTAACTAGTCAGCCAAAGCCATTGTCTAGACAAAGGGACCATTTGAGCAAGCTTTCTCTCATGCATTCCACCCCACAAGTGCCGAATCCCAAAAACTGGAAGGGTCTTAGTACATCATCCAGACTAACCCTCCCCAAACTTATAGGATTTTATACACCTTTCTCTTTAAATAAATGTTTAGGCAGCTAATGTAGAAATTTAAGATAGAGCCCAACAAAGCTGAAGTTGCAATCCTAGGCACACATTTTCGTGGAAGTCAAAACCATTGAACGCACGCCGCTTCTCAGCCTTTTGTGTAAGGTTGAGCAAAGCACCTGTTCAAATCAGCTGTATATCTGATACATTCTTAATGTAAGAAGTATATATTGAAATGGTTTTTGAAACTAGGAGCTTGGATAAGAGCTTTGCTCAGTGCAGTCCACACACTGACCTGGCATTGCATGCTCTCTAGGAGCAGCATAGGTAAAGGTAAAGGTACCCCTGACCATTAGGTCCAGTCATGGCCGACTCTGGGGCTGCTGCGCTCATCTCGCTTTATTGGCTGAGGGAGCCGGCGTACAGCTTCTGGGTCATGTGGCCAGCATGACTAAGCTGCTTCTGGTGAACCAGAGCAGCGTACGGAAACTCCGTTTACCTTCCCGCCAGAGCGGTACCTATTTATCTTCTTGCACTTGATGTGCTTTCAAACTGCTAGGTTGGCAGGAGCAGGGACCGAGCAACGGGAGCTTATCCCGTCGTGGGGTTTCGAACCGCTGACCTTCTGATCAGCAAGTCCTAATAGTTTAAAATCAGATGAAATAAATGCAATCTGAAAATTATATGTAGACGTGTGTCAGGGCTTTAAGTATCTAGCAATGCTCTGGTGGCTTCAGCTCCCTGCACTCACAACCTGCTCTGTTTGTTTCCTCCACCAGTCTCTGGGAGCTCCCTTGTCCCCTTCTATTCTATTCCGACTGCCTCCCACCTTACCCCTGCCCCTGCCCCAGGCTTGGCTCCCTGCTTGCTTTCTCGTTTGTCCCTAAAACATCCCCCAGAACCTCAGCCATCATCTCTGTGGAGCATGTGCCAATGCTCTTTTGCTGTGCAATGGGAGCCACTCCTGAGCCAGGAGAGTTCGACTGAGCAGGGATGCTAGCCAGTTGCTCAGTGCTCTTAAAAGGCCAGCAAAAGCCCACCACCACCACACACACAACCTGCCCTTTTGTGAGGTTACTCAAATAAAACATCTGTTGCTGAGTGGGCACTTGTGCAAACAGAAGAGGGTAATTGGGAGAGAGATTAGGCTGCAGAGATGGACATATTATCCCAGAGGAGTGAGTTAATCATTGACACTGCTGCATTTGGGATTCTGCTGACTGCTTTCAGCTTAGACTGGCTTGGGAGAATGGGAAAACCTCACTCCCAACAGCTGTTCTCTGGCCCAAGCAACTCTACATCTTTAATGGACAAGGTCATAGCTCAGAGGTACAGCAAATGCTCTGTGTTCAGAAGCTCCTGGGTTCAATCCCCACTGCCTGGTCTGATGAACTTTGGCTGCTGGTGTCAGGCTCCATGCAGAAGTGCAGGAAAGGTCCTTAACACAAGGCTGCAGCAACGTTTGTGGTAGTGCAAAGCAACAGAGGAAAGAAAGGATTTGGATGGTATTTTTGAATGCAGCACACCTGGTATCTCTTAACTGAAAAGCTCTCCAGTATCAAACTGGGAAAGACCTTGGAAAGTTCCAACTAGATAGGAACTGGTAACTTACCTTTGAGGAAGGGTTGTAGCATTTGGGACTTTTCAGTTTAGAGAAAAATCAAGTAAGAGATGACATGATAGACATTTATAAAATTATGCATGGTGTGAAGAAAGAGAGTAGGGCTGAAAGCTGGAATCATAGAATCATAGAATAGAATCATAGAATCATAGAGTTGGAAGAGACCACAAGGGCCATCGAGTCCAACCCCCTGCCAAGCAGGAAACACCATCAGAGCACTCCTGACATATGGTTGTCAAGCCTCTGCTTAAATACCTCCAAAGAAGGAGACTCCACCACACTCCTTGGCAGCAAATTCCACTGTCGAACAGCTCTTACTGTCAGGAAGTTCTTCCTATTGTTTAGGTGGAATCTTCTTTCTTGTAGTTTGGATCCATTGCTCCGTGTCCGCTTCTCTGGAGCAGCAGAAAACAACCTTTCTCCCTCCTCTATGTGACATCCTTTTATATATTTGAACATGGCTATCATATCACCCCTTAACCTCCTCTTCTCCAGGCTAAACATGCCCAGCTCTCTTAGCCGTTCCTCATAAGGCATCGTTTCCAGGCCTTTGACCATTTTGGTTGCCCTCCTCTGGACACGTTCCAGTTTGTCAGTGTCCTTCTTGAACGGTGGTGCCCAGAACTGGACACAGTACTCCAGGTGAGGTCTGACCAGAGCAGAATACAGTGGCACTATTACTTCCCTTGATCTAGATGCTATACTCCTATTGATGAGGCCCAGAATTGCATTGGCTTTTTTAGCTGCCGCGTCACACTGTTGGCTCATGTCAAGTTTGTGGTCAACCAAGACTCCTAGATCCTTTTCACATGTACTGCCCTCAAGCCAGGTGTCACCCATCTTGTATTTGTGCCTCTCAATTTTTTTTGCCCAAGTGCAATACTTTACATTTCTCCCTGTTAAAATTCATCTTGTTTGTTTTGGCCCAGTTCTCTAATCTGTCAAGGTCGTTTTGAAGTGTGATCCTGTCCTCTGGGGTGTTAGCCACCCCTCCCAGTTTGGTGTCATCTGCAAATTTGATCAGGATGCCATTGAGTCCATCATCCAAGTCGTTGATAAAGATGTTGAATAAGACCGGGCCCAAGACAGAACCCTGTGGCACCCCACTAGTCACTCTTCTCCAGGATGAAGAGGAACCATTGATGAGCACCCTCTGGGTTCGGTCAGTCAGCCAGTTACAAATCCACTGAGTGGTAGCATAGTCAAGACCGCATTTTACCAGCTAGACCGCATTTTACCAGCTAGACCGCATTTTACCAGATTCAGGATAGCTAAACAAATGTCCTTCTTCTTGTGGTGCATAAAACATGGAACTCACTCCCACAGGAGGCAGTGATTGTGGGAGATTGCAGTCAAACATAACTATGCATGAGTGCTAGTTAGTGCATGAAGGGGTTAAGACCACAGAGTTAGATTCCTAGACTCAGCTAGGTCACACCTTTTCTTACCCAGTGAGGGATGAATCAAAGCCTTCTCATCCTGTTCCCCCACCACCCTCTCTCACTCTTGCTCCCCATCTATGTCTCTGCCATGTAACTGAAAGAGTTACACACCTTCTCTTATCCTCACTTGATAAGAGAAGGTGTGACCTAGTTGAGTCTAGGATTCTAACTCTGTGGTCTTAACCCCTTTATGCTCCAAGCTTAGGGCATCATCTTTTCTGCCCTGCTTTTGGTGTGTAATACCCTCTAGACAGAATAATGCAATAACACCAGGAAGAATCACACAACAACTAATCAAGAATGATATTTAGATAGTCCAGGATAAATCCATCCCTAATGCTTTAAGGTTCTTTACAATCAAGCCCTGTATAAATTTTATGAAATAATAAATAAATAAAAGAATGCATCCATTGCATTAGTGAGAAGCTGCAGAACACATACTGCAAAAACAACAACAACAACCCAACAGTCTGTAGGGATCCTGACCGTGTCCTGGCATGTGGGGTGACAAATGCACAATAAATGGGAAGTCTTTGTAATTAGGGCGCTATTCTGGTCCAGGATAATGGACATACCATCAAGCTACACATTTTCCCTAAATGCAGCATCATAAATTATATTCACACAAAAAGCCACAAGCAAACTGATCTTTCATAGCACTATATTGGCTGCTGCGCTGCGCAAAGAGAACATTGTGTCAGTGGCAGCTGAGAGGGCATCTTATGTGAGGGCAAGGCCAGAAACCTGTAACTGTGTCCCACCAGGTCCTTATTGCAAAGTGTGGAACCACAAGGGGTCTTTAGGGTGGGAGGTGGAGGAGAAAGACAGTCCGGAAATGAAAGGCATGAGATGTCTATATTGTTATCAGTTTGGGGGAGTTAGTTGGCTGGTAGCCTGATTCCCTTCCAGGCCTGTTTGGAATCTGGCAGAAGAAGCTGATGAGCCAGTGAAAGCAATAAAGTAGAGTGATGTGTGGACCGCCCACAGTTAGTCCACCATTAATGCATTGCCACTGAGTCAACGACACGCTGCAGAATTCACCCGCGGAAAAGCACCGGTCTGGAAGATTGCCGGGGTCTCTCTGCTTTGCATCTGCAATGGCTTGCTCTGAAGCCAGAGAGGGGTGAACTCCCCTCCTCAGTGCAGCGCTGGGGGAATTGTGGGGAGGAGGCAACAGATGGGATGTGCATCAGTGCAGCTTGCATTCCTCGACACAGGTCTCCCGGGATTCAGGACCCCCAGGTTGCAGCAAGAGCAGATGGCAGCTGCAGCGACCCAACTCACAGCCATCAGTCACCGCTTTCGAAGAGAAGACAAAGACCTGGGGACGCGCTGGTCCTGCGCCATGGGGTTGGCTCATACATTCCCCAGCCTTGCTGTACTGGCAGAGCATATTTCTGAGTCTAGCTCATGGATCCACACTTCCCCAGGCAAGGGAGACTCTCTCTCGTCTGGCCTGGGAAATCG